AACGGAAAAACGGAACTTCTCCCTCAGGAGTCAGAGCGTCATTGCCTTCAGATTCTTCCCCCAAATACATTCTCGAAAGTGCCACCTTCTTCCCCCAAATACAACGGACGGTCATTATAGCTGTATTTCAGGCATCTTTCAGTCTAGATACAGCTATAATGACCGTACGTTGTATTCGGGGGAAGAAGGTAGCATGAAAATGCCCTGAAACGTTCCTTTTCTTTTTTTCACGTCATTGCCTACAGCGTCTGTGCATGTGGAAACATGTGCACGGCATAAAATAACAGGACATCTTGCAGTCCATTTGCCCCTCTTCCTTGGACCCACCGGCTTCCTCCCCCATTGGACTACCAGGCCTTCCCCAGCCCCAAAAGTTGCAGCCATAAACGAGCCACATATTTCTTATTAAGCGGGGAAACGTACAGGTGGTTTAAGGCCTTCAACCATTTTTATGGTAACATGATAACATCACATCGTTCCCCAGCACGCCTGTGATGCAGAGACACCATTCCATTCCTCTCCCCCCCCCCCAAGGCCAAATTTTCAGAGTAGCAGCTTCTTGTGAACAGTGAAGCTATGCGCTGGCATGGTGAGCTGGCATATCTCGACAACTGTGTCGTTGTCACAGCAAACGAGCATGGCTCTACCATGCCTTGCACTGCTTCACAACCTGAACATATCAAAACCTTTGTTTACATTGCGGCATTTGAAACCTGCTTTTATGATTGCCATAGGGATCACATATTCTAATATCACCTATTGACAACAAAAACAGAAAAGTGGAGCAACAAGGCTTTTTCAGAAAGCAACCACCAAGTTTCCAGAATTCCGTTTTCCCAGACTCTTACTGACCGACGTTCCCATCGAGGTGAAACATGCAACACGGAGAAGAATGTCAGTCTTGGCAAGCGGGATGTCAGCGCCAAGGGCAAGCTCTGTCAGGCCTGATTACTTGCTCGGCAAAAGAAATCTTTAAGCATTGGATATGCTGAGAGAGTTCTTTTCTGTCCTGAAACGGTTTCACCCAGTTGACCTGACATTGCAGTCACAGAGATTCGATCCCTAGACCTGTGCCACAACCCTATACATTGATCCCGTCTGCTGAGTGAGATTCGATCCCTAGACCTACCCTATACCTGTACATAGACCCTGTGTGCTGAGTAGGATTCGATCCGTAGACCTGTTCCACATCCCAGATAAGTCTGTAGTTTGGGCAGTAGGACTTGATCCCTAGGTCTGTAGATTAGCAGCTAGGTCTGTTACCGATAGGCTTAGGAAGTCTGTTCTAGAAGTCTCTACGAAGTCTGTTGAGGACTGGAATCTGTTTGTAGGTCTGTATAGTCTAGACGGTCGTAGGACAGTCCAGCCAGCAAGTACCAAGGGTAGGGGCTGCATGTGGGGAAGGTTCTGGACTACGTGGTGGGTTCCACACGTTTTGGCCCAGAAGGCCAAACATCTGGAAGCTTCCCTGGGCCACTCGTTTTGGCCCAGGCCCACACGTTTTGAGGCAGGCCCGGGTACCTCCGAAGAGGTATAAATAAAGAGGCAGCATCCAGCCATGCATTCATTCGCCTGTGTGCCATGCGGAAGAGCTGCCTTGGTATCTTGTGCGTGGAGGACTGCAGGTGCCCGGAGAAGAAGTGGGCTGTGAAGAAGACAGCGGCCATAGCGAGCCAGCGAGGGAGACACCGGCGGCCATAGCCGCCCAGCTGTTGGTGTAGACAGAGTGTACAGAGTGTGAGTGGCTGTGCAGTGTGGACATTCAGGGTGATCCTCGTACGTGCGTGCAAGCGAGAGTGAGGGAGACTGAGGCTGGTGGTCGAGACAGTGTTCGGCAGCCATGGCCGCAAGTTGTACAGTTGTTCAGACTGATTTTAATACAAGTTCGTTGTTGTTTCCGAGTTGAAGGAGTTCAGTTTTACCATCGGTTCTCAAGTGTGCATGTTGTGAACAAGGTCCAGAGTCGAGTCTGATTGCAGTCCAAACTTCAAACGTTGATTGCAATCAAAGGTCAAAGATACCAATGTTTAGCCTCTCCTCATTCATTGATCGTCATGCATGTTGCACGAGGAAGATTATCTGACAATACTGAAACTCTAAACATGGTACCTGGAGTTTCAATGTACCTTAACCTCTGAGACACACGCTATCAACTAAGCTAACGTCATAATCTATAACACTCCCTCGAAGATTGCACTGTTGGACTGAAGCCTGTCACTGGACTGACATTTTACCTGCAAGGCTCTGCTGCTATAGAGCCTTACCACAAAGGGCACCATAGAGCTCACCCTCACACAGATATGGTGCAGTGGCATAAAATGCAGCACTACTACACTGTTCGGATTTTGTGCCACACAGTCAACAATGACGGTCAAGAAGAGGAGAACAAAGAGCAGAAAGCAAACGAGGCAGAGAGAGAGAAATTGAGTACAAGAGCAAGAACAGCAGCAACACTGATTTGTTCACGGACATACAGTGTACGGACTGGTCGGTTGGTCGGTAGTCGATTGGCTGGTTGGTCTGTCCGTCAGTCGATCAGTCGCTCGGCCGGTTGGTTGGTCAATCAGTCGGTCAATCGCTCAGTCAGTCATTTGGTCAGTTGGCCAGTTGGTCAGTCGCTAAGTCTGTCAGTCGGTCGCTCAGTTGGTCGTTCAGTCAGATCTTCCTACCTACCTAGCCAAACGCGCCCTAAAGTAACCTCAGCTCTCCTAATCCTCCATTGCCCATTTGTTGCATGAGTGCGCTAACATTCAACAATTTCATAGTCAAGAAGAAGTTGGCAGATCAGCTGTTGTAGCCTTAGTCAAGATAAAGTTAAATAAAGAAGGAAGAAAGCGCAGAAGATAATATAGAAAGGCAGTACCACCATCATCAGATCAGTGGTAGGATAGAAAGATTTACAGGAGACGCCTAGTGGAGTGGTGCAGAAAGAACTCAACCACCATATCAAGATCATGTAGAAGGTGGCAACTATCGATGGACATTGGCTGATATACAAAGGGGGTGGTCCCCACTAAACCCGTCAGACCAGAGGAGAGACAGCAACAGAAGAGAGCAGAGACAAAGCATAGGAAGCCCATAAGAGTTCTAGGGTTTCCTGGACTCGCAGCAAGGTCCAAGTTAAGAACGGACAGGGCTCAGACTCCCGGGCAGTCAGGGTTTAGGGCTCTGGCAGGAAGGGTTTGGCAGTTAACCCAGGATTAGCTACGGAGGAGGCACAGGCAGGCGGGTGGCCACGTTGTAGGGTTTAAACAGGAAGCTTCGATAGCACAATCCAGGATTAGGGAGGATGAGGGATTTCCCAGGTGGGTTTTCTTCTGGTTGAACAAAAGGACAGGGGTGGCAGGCTAAGGGCCTGCTAGGGTTTAGGGCTTTAGGAGTAGTAGGGTAAGGTAGTAGAATGAAGACCATCTCCAGACTGCTTTTAAGATTGTTTTATTGGGGGGTTACATTCATAGAGGGAAGGGGCTGCATTAGAGTACAGGCTTAATTGACAGTCAATCCTTCCTTAAAGGAAGCAATCAATGCTGTCAAGGTTCCCAGGGCCGTAACATCGGGAAGCATGTTGCAGGTTTTTTTCATAAGGAACGCTGGGCCCGGTTGCCAGCACGTGCTTCTCCCCACGAGTAGATTGGAGCTGCGTCTCTGTTGTAAAAAAAAAAGAATGTCCGGAGGTAAGGTTCTCAAGGCCTGATCTACAAGATGTGTCCTACAGAATTGACTGAACTGAGCAAGGAGGACGAACTCGGACTAGTTTGTCTCGTTCTGATGCACCAGTTCTTTTCATGCCCAAGGAGGACGAACTCGGACTATGCATAGACTATAGAGTTTTAATGCCATCCCGGTGAAGATTTCCCCCGCACAGACAATCCATTGGATAGGTTGCAAGGCTGCAAGTACTTCGTCAAAATAGACCTCAAGTCAGGGTCCATGAGATAACTAAGCAGGTCACCAAAAGAGTAAGAACCTTTGGTGAAATCTACGTTTACGATTGGAGGAAAGGGTTTCCAACTTTCCATGCTCTGAAGAACAGGAGCCTTCCTGCAAAGGGGTGTGGGCCTGGCAGTGCCTGCGCTGAAAGTCAGCCACCATTTCCTGCCTGAGTGCTGCTTTGGCGGCTATACGTATCGCTGCCATGGTCGGCTTCTTTCCGCCCATCACCACTCCACACCTCGTGACCTAAACCCATTGGTCTAGGCTGCAACCACCTGTATTCACCATTCTACAGTTCCCATGCAGTATGTCATGAAGACCAGACTCAGCTGTTGTTCCCCATTCCAAATCCTGTCCACAGTTTCGCCTCCTGATGAGTCGGTGACACTCCGACGAAGCAGTTTGTCACAGCCCCTCGTTTGTTGTCCTCTTCTCCCTCTCTGTCTACGGTTTACCGAGCAGCTCTTTTTTACTATTATATATACATATATAATATATATGACGATATATAGTAACTCCTGAAGGCCGGCTTCACTTATCGTTCCCCATCGGAACACCTGCCCCTCTGTGGGCTCAGTGGTTCCTGCCCGTCCCCGTCCTCTGTCCTACACCGGTATAACCCCTGCACCTTCCCATTTACTGGCGAAGTAGCCAGTGGTTTACTGTGTGAATGTGAGGCATGCAACAAGAGTGTTGCAGTCACGTGATGGCAACCGCATAGCACAGACAAATATTCAAATTTCCAACACTCGACAACCCAACCATCGCATCAAAGCAGTTACGCGCAAAGCCTTAACATCAACCCAAGCAAAGACATATTGATGAAATACCATCCATTTCGGAATATGAGCTCCAAATGGGATCAACCAGGTAATATGGTGCATTATAACTGGAACTGGGTTAGCAGTCCCAGCATTGTTTTCCGGGTGGACTGTACAGACTTCAGCATGCTTTTCGATGGAGAAAAAAAGAGATCGACGTTTTTTCAAAAGCCAAAAGCCAAAAGAAAAAGAAATCAATTTTAATGCACTGACCAAAGGACCAGGCATACCTACATGAAAACTCACCTAAAGAAGTTGGAGATGAAATCATGGATAGGAGAGAGGCATCCGTTGCCATATTCTTTACTATAGCCACAGTCGCTCCATTTGGGCTTTTTACACGCAACTCGGTCAATCGCAATGGCTTTGTCCAGCCAAACGATAGCGAGCCAACTTCAACAGTCCCTGTATCAGTGTATCAACGAAAACACAAAAAATGACAAAAAAATTAGTAAAAATAAGTTACAAGAGAGACCGCTAGACAGTTTACCATTTTTTGAGGACAAACGTTGAATGACTGTCCTGTGAAGAAAGACAGCAGCAAACTTAGGATTGACTCACTATAAGGGCCAAAACTCTTGTCAAATTCGGCAATTAAATGTCAAACTGGGTTATGAATGGGGAAATCCCAAAAAGGTTAAGATTGCCACCCCTCATGATCAAAACTGCTGCATTGCCACCCCTCAAACCCTGAGCGTGAGCCTGATCATTATAACACAAACAAGAAACGAACTTCCCCCCTCACACCTAATACCAAGTGCAGAAAAGCAATCTGATTGCTAACAAAGGGTCAGCGCCAGGGTTAAAGGCTTTTAGCAGCCTCGGGATTAGCACTGGTATGTGCAAATCATTCTACCTCACAAACAAGATGCCAGCCAGAGCCAGTCATAAACAAAACATGGGCACGTGTGTGTGTGGTGAAGGCTGAGAAAATAGGGGGAAAACTAGGCCAAGTTGGAATGTCACATGACAAATGGCGCAGACCAGAACCAAGAACCGACCTCTCAAAGATGGAGCAATGATAGCACAGAGGAAGACTGAAATACCAACAACGTCATGACACAGGCTGAACGTCTCCATCATCATCATCACATGGTGTGAGTGGCCTGGCGCCAAACACAGAGACGAAGGGCGCCAGGCTGAGAAAATAGGGGGGAAACTAGGCCAGTTGGAATGTCGCATGACAAATGGCGCAGACCAGAACCAAGAACCGACCTCTCAAAGATGAAGCAATGATAGCACAGCGGAAGACTGAAATACCAACAATCAGACCCAATCAACGTCATGACACAGACTGAACATCACCATCATCATCATCACATGGTGTGAGTGGCCTGGTGCCGAACACAGAGACGAAGGGCGCCAGGCACACAATCATCCACAGATGAGGAGGAGGGAGGAGAGACGAAGGATGAAGATATGGAGAATGTCGTCGATACTGATCCAAAAGTAGCCCCCCACAATGTCTCTGCCCCAATGTCAAGTCTGAATCCGAATGTCGCCAAATCTCTCTCTCTCTCTCTCTCTCTCTCTCTCTCTCTCTCTCTCTCTCTCTCTCTCTCTCTCTCTCTCT